TTGCGCTTAATGGTGCTTAATTATGGTGGGTTCCATTTGAAAAGTGCTTCATACCAATGTGAGGGGAGGGGGGTTGGAGGTCTGTGGATGGAGACAACGCTTCAGTATGGCGTAGATGTTGCCAAATAGATGTTTTTGTTGTTTCATACTGGTGCTCAAGGGCAACATCGTCTGGATCAAAAAGTCGCTCATTCTTCCTGAAGAACAGCTTCATGTATCTTCTTTCTTCATGAGAACAAATTTTGAGAGAAAAAAAAGTCTAGAAACCTGTAGGAAGATATTTGTGAATGATGCCCTTCCTTTGCAGGCAGACCTAACCACATGTCCAGCGAGCTTATTTTGGACAAATCAACTCCTTGTCTGACTCTTTGGCTGATTCATTACCTTCCCTGGCCAACATTTGCATAGAAATATCTTCATTACAGCCACAATCTCAGCGAGGTGCAGGTGGCCATGGGAAAGACCCTTTCAAGAACAAAATGATAGATTATCATCCTGTGAATTCGATCAGTTATTCTTTCCAGCAAAACACAGGGAAAAGAAGCAGCCATTTCCATAAGCATACTAATTCACATTTACATAGAGATGAACCCCGATGCAAATGAGTGAAACAGCTTCTACTTGAAACAGGTCCCCTGGCTTAACTGAGACATAGACAGGCATCAACCACAGGGGCATCAAAACCCATCAAGCATGTCAATCAAACGCTGTGCAGCATTTCAGCTTTAATAAGGAGGGGAAGACAGAACATTTGTACACAACCAAGGTCCTAACAACAGAGCTGATGTCATGCCTGGGTAATCCTTGATTAAGTTAACAATTTACAATGTGCTAGGATGCTAAATGTAGTCCTTTGTATTTACTACTCATGCTAACAGCAAAGATCTGAATGTGTTGTGCCCTTTCTGTCAATAGAAAACGTAGACGTTAACGTTTTCAAAAATGCCAATAGACCTATTCTCTTCACAAAATAAAATGCAGTAGTTCCTCGTGAAATCAAATTAGGCGTATGACATTCAGCAGAACGCGGTCTGACATTTGCGAGACAGAGCTGGAGGGACTAAGCATAACAAATAGGATGGAATTATGTGCTGAAATTAATCAGGATTTATTTTTATGTGTGCTATGACTGGCATGAGGCAAATCGTATTAAGGGAAAAAAAGAGGCAATCCAAATTGACTTTAAACAGTTCTTGTTTCTCAACCAGTTTTAATGGATTATGAACAGATCTATATGACTTGTCTGTAAACATACTGTAGGCTATATTATGGCTCTCAATCTAATAGTAACCAAAGGATGAGGAGGCATATGTGAATTTCACAAGTTCATGTTATTTATTTTAATATAAACTCCCTGAAAGATCTCACTTAGACTTTTTGGATGGAAAAACTCATGTAATCTTTTCCATTATCTACTAGAATGGCTGTCCTGAAGGAGTGGAAAACAGTAGGACAGATGCATTAGTCGGCTCTCTTGTGTATTATCTACTGTAACAACAAAAAAACAATTCAACACCCAAGGATGCAAATTGGTTGGCTGAAGATATTTGGTGCCTTAACAGTTTAGGGAAAAAATAACACTTTGTAATCGTCACAAACGCACTCAGGGAGAATTTTGTAGCCCTGACTCATAACCCATGCCTTCACTTTCCATTTGTCTATTCGTATTCCCTTTGAATTAATAAACACCTGCGTGTTATCACAGCTGACTTTCAAAGTAAATCCATATGGAAGAGATTAACACAACTCAGTGTCCCTCGTGATGTTTCCAGATGCACACGCTTGTTAAACTTGCAGCATGTGATGAAATGTGACTCTTCACCGCTAAATCCACAACCCACATCTACGGATCATCACCAAGGGGGGGGAAATGATCCCAATTTTAACACCTACATACATTAATAGGGAAAGACAAAGGAGATGTAGATTTAAATGAATTTTAACGTACACATGCTGGGATAAAAACAGAGGAGGTCACTACACTTAACACGTTTTATCTCCTCTTAGTAGCTGTGGTATGCGCAGACCTTTTTCTCGCCCGCCTCTGTTACTCATTACCTTCTACTTTGTCTTGAGAAAGAATGCCCAAAGGCCCTGACCTTATGCTTTCAGCCCTGGTTCGGACAAAGCCAGGCTTTGTGCCAGCTCTCCAGGCGCATCACAGCCTGCCTGTCCAGTCGTTACACTGCCAAAGCCCCTCCAGTCGTTGCACAGACCCCCCAGTTTACCCTTCATGGCCCGTGCCCACTGAGCTGTGACTAAGTGACTCTCCCCCTTAGTGTGTGCCGAGTTTCATAATGAAATCATTCAGTCATGCACAGGAAGTTCCTTGCACTGTGTAGCCATGAAAGAATGCCAGTAATGTCCGTCCAATCACACATGGCAGGCTCTCAGGGAGAGGGAGTGATTGAGTCTGTTAGTTGCCCGGTGTCAGATGAAATACCTGATTTACATTTTTTAACAGCACTCTTTGTCTAATTAAACAGATTTGTTTCCATCCAGCAGCTGTTTATTCTTTTAGGACTTAAGGTTTAGAGGAATAGTTGGATATTTGCAATTCATCTGCTAATGTGCTTTCATTACAATAGTTCCATTTGTGAGTTGAAACCCTTCTAATCAAGTTTGTCTAATCAATCAAAAGGCGACAGCAAACAGTTTGCTTTAAGGACTCGTTTTGCAGAATCTGGTAGATGACTTTGTTAACATTGCATCGCAATAGGCTAAGTCAAAGCTCTAAGCCATGCTAAGCTAACTGGCTGCTGGCTTTAGCCTGATAGTGACTGAACAGCCACAAGAGGTATTGATCTTCTTACCTAATAAACAAGAAAGTAACAGTAAGAAGTATTTCCCAAAATGTTGAATTGTTTCTTTGAAGTGCTACTTTTATTTGGATAACTTTGCTGATGATCACTTTTTTGTAGTTTTTGAAAAACCTGAAACAGAACTTTGGCCAACTTTGATAATGCTCTATGTACACAGCTGGGACTCCTTCCACTCTCCTCCCTGAGAAGTTCCTGTGTGCGTTTGTGTATCCATGGAGATGATCCTCCCTCTGCTCCTCTGGAATGTTTGCAGAGTGCACAAAGAAGACAAGATCAGCCCGAGTACCTGGGGTCTCTGCTCGGGCCTGCTATGGGCCCCCCGGCTGTGTGACTGTCTGTCTGAGTGTGTGTGTGATTCCGCCTCCCGACACAGAAAACAAGCACATCTGGTAAGAACCACATAATACTGCATAATAAGCTGCTGCACTGGTACCATGAGCTGGGACAAGTTGCACTCATTAGACCATGTCACAGAGTTATGAGCATGAAGATTTAGGTGCCCTTGGGTGAAAAAAACCCCTGAAATAAACCAGGCTGACAGAGTGAGGGAGGCAACACATGTGAACAGTTAAAAGGGTGATTCAACAACCTCTTTGAAATATACCATTAGTTTGATTACAGCTGGCATGGCCGCTGATTAAAAAACTGTTTTTTTTGTGTGTGAAGGAATGCATAAAAAAGAAAAAGAAAAGCTAATTAGGGAAAATGAAACTTTCATTTTCCACTTAGCTAACAAATGAAGTTGACAGTTATGTTTACACTGAAGACGGATGAGCTGCAGGAAGCTGCTGGATGTGGGTGAAATACATGAGGGAGGGGAAATGGTGCGAGGCAGGGAGAGAGAGGAAGGGCTGTGAGTCCGGTTCAGACCTGCAGACTTCACTTTAACATTGGCTCTAATCCCCGGTGTCTGCACGCTGTCGTAAATCTCTCTTTTCTGTATTAACACACATGCTCAGAGCGCCATGCCCAGCTGCAAACCCTCCTCCTCCCCCCACCCGACAAAACACACATGTTCACATACTGATACTAACCCCACTCCCAGCACATTAACATGACCTGCTTTCCCATATACAAAAGCCAGTGCACATATTGATCCCCAAGTCCCTATTAGAGCTGCAGCAGGCTGTTATAGTCTGGAGAAGAAAAAAAAGACTCAAGCTGCACCTGCTTAAACTTCTGCTGATTCTCTTCAACCACATAGTGAAGCAAGAAGGATGGCGCATAAATCACTGATACTTAAGTGCTGTATAGGGCATGGAATTTGCCACTATTTAAGAAAAAAGGCACTCTTGGAGATGTTCAAATAGTACTGGTGTGCTCTGGAGTTGGCTTATAGATATATAAAAAAAACAACGTTAAAGCAACCAGATGAGTTGCAGATCAGGAAGAGGCTGGAAAGAATTAGGCGTCAAAAGTTTGATCATTGACTTTCTCTCTGATGTGCTCATAAGTCTGGGATCAGGAATCAGACAGAGAACTGGGCTTTAAAGTGGAACTAACAAGGAGAGGATCCTTCCACATGGGGTTAAATTAGAAACCGATGTGCAAAGTGAAAGCATATGAGCTCAAAGGAAAGTAATACAGCTGACCTCCGGGCATTACCTGTACTTTTTCTCTTTCACAGTCACTAATTCAACCTCTGAAAGACTGTAAACAAGGCTCCCCCTCTGAGAGCAAAGCGCTCATTTATTGCAGAGTTGGCTTCTCACTGCAGCACATGCAACGACAAATGGACTTTTCTCGCATTTTAGCCAAACAGATTGAACCAATAAGGAAAGCGGCCATGGCCTCAGTTTGACCGTATATATTACTACAGTGACGAATATTCTGTAATCCGTCTCCTTTTCCTCAAAAGAAAGACGTTTTGATAGAGTTAGGGAACAGTAAAACCCTTCTGAAAGGATGTCACTTGTCTCCTTCACTTTATCATTCTGGCTGAGATTATGAAAGGGATTAGAGATTCCTGTTGTAGCGTGCCTGTGGCTGACAGAATGGCTCCTGGGGAACAGTGAGCCAGTGCAAGATATTACTACAGCACAATGAGTGCACTGTAATGGGCCAGTGCTGAGCCTTGGAAAATCACAGCGCCCCACAAAGACATAGGTAAATATTTGATGCACTCTAATGAGGCCGTTAAATAGAAACTGCAGATAAAGCACAGACAACATCTTTACATTAAATTAAAGTGTTTTTTTTATATCAAAAAGGACGAGAGATTTTGGAATGTTACAATGCACATTAAATAAGTGAAACATCAAATTAAAAAAATCAGTTTGGTGGACAGTATTTACAACATACTTACAACATATACAATGTATATGATACACCTGTGATTTTAAGGCTTAATATGCAATTCAAAAAACAAGAGTGCAGGTGCTGCCAAGTCAATGTATATGTGCAAAAGATTTCTTGAAAAAGCGCACCAAGATGGTTAACAACAAATACAGTTAAATTATGTTAAGGCTTAGAATTGTATCGTAAGAATAACTGAACACAAGGCAATAACCCAAACACACACGAAGGACTGTGTTATAAAGCTCAAGTCACAAATTTAGCCTATTCTTTCAAATGAACCTTTCTCAATCATTCCTCTCTGTGAGAGTACAGTGGGAAACTCAGGGAGCTTATAAACATGTGTAAAATTAAGTTATTTATAAAGTAGGCAACATATTCTATTCACAAGAGGTAGTAGTTCAGCTGGATATTCAAGACAGTTTAATGTAATGCGCATCAGTTTAGCACAGGTGTGCCACTCGCTTTTCGCAGAGCTCATTACACCGTGCAGACGACAAATCCTTCACAGCTGGCTGTACTTCCCTCTGCAATGCAAAATGTGTTTGTATAATCTGTCTATCCTGTCCTGGAGAACAGCGGCGTGCTCGTCTGAGAGAAACCCCAGTTCCAGGGACAAAGGCTCGCTGTCTCTGTAGAGCTCCAGCAGCCTTTTCCTGGAGTCTCTGCGCTTGTGCAGCTCCGCCACGCGCTGCGTTGTCCTTTTTCTGAACACACACACCGAGCTCAGCACTGTGCTGTGATATTTCTCCCACATGTTCAACACCCGGAACCCGTGCACCAGCCCGGCCTCGTTGTCTATAAACAGAAGGTCACCGCGCGGCGTCTTGAGGAGGTTGTTCGTGTCCCTCTCCATTACGCGCGAGTCCCACTGCAGGCTGAACAGATTACTGACCAGCCTGTCGAAGTTCGCAGTCAGGTAGTCCAACACGATCAGGTCGGTCCACTGCATCAGCTCCAGCAGCTCCGCCGTCGTCTTGTTCCGGAGCTCGAGCAGCACAGGATGCAGCCCGTTGCTCTCCGGTCTGAGCGGCGCAGGTGTGACCACCCCCGTCAGGTTGGAGACCCACTTAGTGAGAGAAACCACGGCTCCATCACTCCACTGTAAACCGTCTATCCGCGCCCTCACAGCATCCCATTGTTCGCTGTCACCGCTCAGCTGGGACAGTATGAGAGGAGGCAGGTTTGTGATGCCGAGCAAACTGGCAAGGTAATAAGTCAAAGTTTCCCCTTGCACCTGATCCGCGTTAATTCCGTAACGCACACACGCTTTGGTCCCGTCTGCAAAAGTAGCGAGCTGGTTCGATATCCTGCCGCATCCGGGCTCCAGCTTCACTACCCGGTGTGCCCTGGCTCTCTCTCTCCACGCCTGAGCATATTCCTCTGTGAATTGCTCGGGGAGTAGCTCCTCAAGCCATTCACTCCAAAAGATCCCATCCTCCACCAGGGAGCCCAACTTGACCGGGCCCTCCCGCCGCGCTGACCTCTTGTTATCCCCATTCACATGGTAATCTGGACTTCCTGCAGAGACGGTTTGATCAGTGAGGTTGTGCGCCTCAAGTCTGCCCCCCAAGCGCGGTCTTTGTGCCACTGGCACGGCGAGCAATGCTCTGAAAGTTTTTGTGGAGAGGTCCGTTGGGAGACCTTGGTGTAAGGACCCTGAGAACCTGCGTTTGTGTCGCTCCAAACGGCTCTCCAATGCGCTCCAGACATAGAAAACACTTGCAAGGGCGCACAGAAACAGCAGAGCGAATAAGTTTGCTGTAACAGCCCTCATAGTGAAGACCACCTTTCCCCCTCCCGAGACCCACAAATGTCCAGAAGGTTTGGGGTGGCAAAAAAAAGAACAAGAGAGACAATTTTCCACGATCCACTGTTTAGGTTTGAGCTGTGCGCCCCGTGTACCGCACACCTCCCAAGCCGAGATCAGAGGGTCTCCGAAACAGTGTGAATCTCATCTCCCGTCCTGCCCAGGCGCCTTCTCATTCCCCTCCTCTGCGGGAAACCGAGCGAGCGTTTCGGATCACCGCGTCGCACATCCTCTGTTAAAAACGTCCTCTATTAAAGCCCGCTGTAGTCCAATAGCGGCTTTCTGTCCGTGTTCACCTCCCCGCTCCTCATCCTCCCTTCTGTCTCCGCCGGGCGCTGGGTGAGTTTGATTTGTGGTGCTGTCGGCTCGCAAAGAGACACTAGGCGGGGGGGACACGTGACTCCAGTCTCGAGATGGTGGGCGGATCGTGGGAAGGAGGGTTCAGAGAGGAGAGGAGCAAGTGCACCGCGTTGCGTTTTGTGAGTGTGTGTGTGTGCATGATGTGAGAGGATTGTGTGGTATTGGCAAATGTAGCCATTATAATAATTGAAACCTTGTGCAAAAAAATACTTTGGAAATAATGTAACCATTTTCAACAAATTCTATTCGGTGCCTGCACACAAAGTGGAATATCTGTGTTAGTAGTGAGACAAATACAGCCTGGTTGAATTTGGTTTGGTTTGGTCTACCCATATTAGTGGACAATATAAATCTCCCTTTTTTAAAATTGTATTCTATCTCTAATTTATGACCCTATGACGTCATTATGGATCAAAAGAAGTAGTATAAAATCACCAGCATACTGTTTTCTTTGGGGTTAGAATGTTAAAGAGTTTTTTGATGGTATTCTCAGAGGAGTCGTTGCCATGTACCCAATTTAAGGAACCTATTGGAAAACTTTAATGTGATCACAGGAACTGTTGATATCTATCCCATGATCATTCCGGTGCCGCAGACTTAAGACAAAAAGCTCCAGAAACAAACAAGTAAAAAGTGAACCACAAAGGAACGTGTTTGGGTGGCACAGCCATTCATTTAACAAATAGGTATGCATTGGATTAATAACTGTGATTAGGTACATTTTTAGAGCCCCACATTGAATTACTTCAGAACTTTCATTTCATAGTCATTACTTATAAAAGGCAATTTTCTCCAACAAAAATATATGAATGCTGATTAGGACTTTAAGACAGCACGATATAGCGTCTTTAGACCTAGCAATGACCTGGCATTTCCTCCTTTACTAGGATGTAGTTTTATATGGTTAAAAATGTATTTCTAGAAAACTCCAGATTTGCCTAACTTGTACGACATATTTTGCTTATCAATAGAATTTTCCTTACTAAATAAAGTTTGGTAAAATCAACAGTGAAGTTACTTCCTTTCTTGCATTAATCTTCAGTTCAAACTTTGCCTTTCATTAAACTCTGATGCTCACAAAATGTCCAAAATCCTGGGATCTTACAGAGCGTAAACCCACCTTTCACTGTCATCAGCAGTAAGAGTTAGCTCCCTCATCACATCTTTAATACAAATACCTTGTTTCAATGTTTGATAGTTCATGCCCCTGCTTGGTATTCTTGGCACCCTTTTTTCCATTTCTGCTGCTAAATATTGGATCATTTCCTGCTCACACCCAGGGCAAACTAAAGTCAGCTGCTTGCTTCATCCTTGTCCTATGCTTTTGTTAAACAAAGTGTAACACGCATGCATACAAACTCCTTATGCGCATCTCCCTCATTAAATGATCTTCATTAGCATCCCCCCACACGCTTTACTATTCCACTCAGGCACTCACTTTGTATCTTGAACCTTGGTTTTGCAAATCAAATTAATTGGGTCATTTTTATAGCAACATTCTGCCATGCTAAATTGCCTGAGTCGAAAGAGACAGCAGCAGACAAGAATAGTCAATTACACCCAGTAAACTAGAAGTCTACTAATCTATGCATTTAGCGCCTGGAGCCCTCAAACACTTATTTTTATGCTGATATTCGTACTTGATTTAAAACGTGACGAGACATATAAACATACAAGATGATTTTCTGTGGTATATCTTTGAATGTCTAACAACACACAGGGCTAGACTGAAGACAGCGTCTTGCAGACAGGCAGGAGGAATGATCCTGATTTGGTCGTATTGCACATGTAGCTCGTGCACTTCTTTTTTGCCATGTTGGGTGTTTTTGGGTTTGTTTGGCATCAGCAGACTGATTTGTTCAATTCCCAGCCTTTGTTTGATTCTGCAGTGCAGATTGACAGCGGAGGCAGAGCAGTGGGAACATATATTCCCCAGTTTTGCACGAGGAGAGAGAACAGCACTTACAAGTCCAAGAGGCTTTCAGGAAGGATATGTGTAGTGGTGCATGGCTGGGCTTGTTTTTCTTTTTTAATGGAAGACAAAAGAGTGGGTCCTTACAGAGGTGGGATTTTTCCATCTGGTGTGAAGAACTGTTTAAAACCCATTATCCTTCACAAATTAGCTGTGTCTTAGAAAATCAGACACTAAAGAGACTTTTTTTTAAACTTCACCCCACAGCCCCCAACCAACACATCTCTCAGCTTATAACCAAGGTTACATAGATGACTAGAGAATATATCAAGAATATATCTCACATAAATCTCCAATCTCCTAACAGTGAAAACAAAAAACAAAAATGCCTGCAACAAACTAAAGGATATTTCGTCATATTAACTCAAACTCTACAGTCTGCCAGTTATAGTCCAGCTAGCTTCTCTGGGTTGGTTTATTCCCCAAGTCTCCATGCTCTACAAAATTCCTCTTCTCATACAAATTCAATTTTCCTGTGTGTAGTGTGTATTCATTTATTTTTTCCAGCGAAAAACACAGAGCCATATCTTTTATTATCCAAGACCCCATACTAGATCTTTCTGGTTTCTCCAAGTGAAGTCCAAACATCTGTTTAGATCGCAGAGGCACATATGAATAAATATGACTTCTTCCTCTCTTCATGTTAGATCTGTAGGATACAGCTCCAAAATAACAGCCATAGCCCACTAAAGAGACATTAAAACTTACACGTATCAACAGATAGAGAAATAATCCTCAAGTATTTTAAGATTGACTCAATATGTAAAAAACCTGCTTCACTTTGGTTTACTCCCCTCCACTTTCACTTTAAAGCTGTAAGGTCTAGACATAGGAAATGAAGACGGCTTAAGTGCATTGTTGGAATTCATTCTGATGTGTGTTGCTTTTAAGGAGTGTGGGGTAACTATCACTTACTGGCTCAGTCTGCAGCAGCTCGACTCACGGTGTCCCTTTTCCCTGAGCACAAGTGCGGGCATGTTCTCATATCAAACCTATCTGTTTCTTGCCATGTGTTATCTGCAGGTCAGGCAACCTCTGAACCCCCCCCCCCTCCCCACTCCCTCCTGCTGCATTCCTCGTTCTGCTTTCCTCGTAAATCCCAGAGCAGTCCCAAGAGGGCCGTAACACCGGGAACGCCTTTCTCCAGCAGTTATGGCTGTCCGTGGTCAAACGCTTGCAGTGACACAAGAGAACCCCAGACCGTCTGTCATGCTGTCCACAGTGAAACCATCACCGGGCCATCTGACCACGCCGCAGCTGTGACACGATCTCTGCCTCTCTGCGTGGTGCCCGTCTGAATGTGAAGATTCACGTAAAGAGGCAAAGGAGACAGAAAAGGGACGGTGGGGGGGACAGAGGAAGAGAAAGTGCAGCGGGCTTCTGTCACTTCCCTCATAGTCTAAGGTTAGTTCACGCTGAGCACTAACTCATAGGTCCCCTGACACTTTGCAGCACTCTGTTCCCTGGACTGAATAATGAATGTGCGGGGCTTCCATTAGCGTTGAAAGCTATGATTATTTCACAGGGCCCGACAATTACTCATGCTAAGGGATTCAGGGACGGGGCGGGTGGGGGGTGGCTCCATTGGGATGAATTCATCGTCTCCTGGTCTTGTGTGTGTGACGACGAGATCTGTGTGAGTGCTCTTTGGACATGCATGTTCTCATTTGCAATTATTCTTTAAAATAGTGAGCGGAGCAGATAATAAGACGGAGGTCTAGTGATTAGATTTGATATTCTAGTGGTGTGTATGTACGCACGTACTGTCAGTACCTGCTTGGAATCCATGAACTGGCATATTGCCATCTGTTCTTGAAGCCCACTATGTGCGACTCTCTGCTCAGAAGGCTAGAATTTTGGCTGTGTGTAGCTTTCAGTTGAAGACGCACCATTGCATGAAACTATACAGAGAATGATAACCACCATTGACTGAGACATGGTCAGGGTCTGCACTTATCTTCGCCCTTATCTCCAGTAAAGAAATAGTGCAAAAATTGCAGAAAAATCTACCTGACAGTCAGCGCACTGCTTTTTAAAATTCATTTAGAAGGTGCAAACCCTAGGAGATAACACGGGGGGGAATTCTCAGCCATGGTGTTTCTAGGACCATCCAGTTTTTCAAGGAAACAGCAGCCCCCCTCCTTGTTTCATCCAGGCAGAAACCGGGGCCTCAAAGGCTGAAAGCAGAAACAAGCAGCCCAGGCAGCATCAAACTGAAACTGTTGCTACACGAAGCGATTGGCTGCACCACTGGGACCCAAACATGGCACACAGCCAGCAAAGTGCTGCCCTTTTTTCACCAGTTACCGCGGGTTCATTTGCATTGCCTTAGCCAATTTCCTGAAAGGCAGGCTAAAGGTTTTTTTTTTTAGCAAAGACTGGTCAGTTGGTAGTCGCTAATGAATGAGTTTGTGTTAATGAATGCTGAAATACTCTGTCAGCCATGGAGGGGGAGTCCGAAGGCTTGGCTTATTGATGTACTGTACTCCCTATCTCCATCTGGTTTGCACGCCGCAGCAGTTAAAAGGGGGGGATTTAAAAGCCGCCATTGAAATTCAGTGCTACACAAGGGAGACCCTCTTATATGAGTGAAATCAGGAAGGGAAGACGGCGATGTACTGTGGAGCCACTCGATTAAAGAATCAGTGTCCAATCTCCTGGATTACACCCCCTGACCTGCCACGCCAAATCCCCTATTAAACAAGAAGTCAAGAATTGAATTCTTTTGACTTTCTCCGTCTGCTAACTGGCTTATTGACTCGAGCACGCTCAGTGCCTCGTGGTGTGGTTTGCCTTTAAACTGGCTAAAAAAAGAGCTTAAGAACATCTGATAATTATTAGCAAAGTCATGACATTCAAAGCCCTGGTGTTTGTTTTTTTTTCCGTCTGCAGATAAAATGCACCGCATGAAATGGTTTGGCTCCTCGTCTGGTGAGGGTCACACGGTCAGTTAAGATTAGAGATGGTGCTTGAATGTCCTACTAATGTTTCAGCGCAACATTTAGCAGCTCCGAGTTTAATAG